GACGGGGATTCGAACCCGCGACCCTCAGATTGCGGGTCGAGCGCCTTATCCACCTGGCCATGCCGGGCACTTAATGTACTGAGACAAGATTTTGGTAGCATGGAATTTGGCAGTTTTAGCATAATGAACGGAAATTTTGTTGCTGTCTTACTTTTTGGGGGGATAACGTCGCCTTTTTTTTGTTTTATTAAATTTTATCTACTTTCTTTAAAAAAGAAGCCAAAAAATTTCCACCATTTTAGTTAAGTAAAAGAAGTCAATATTAATATATAATAATCTCATTAGCAGTTATAATTCATAGGTCCCTCAGTAGCACAAAGATATGTCTGCGGACTTACAACGCTAGAATCCGGGTTTCGATACCCGTGGTGGGCAGAGCACAGATAGCCCATTGTGTAGCTTTGTGCTTAATTACAAATAAATAAACAAATACAATTTATATTGCAACTTCGTGGAAATAAAAATTCAGACAAAAGTCTAAACTAAAAATTGAAAAAGAGGCAACCAAATTTCATTACTATTAAGATAAAGAATCTGTAGTTTTACTGAAAAATCCTATTAAGATAAAGAATCTGTAGTTTTACTGAAAAATCTTTCGTAGCTGGTTTTTTTCATCAAATTTACATAAACTACTTTATCTTTGATAATTTGTTAGATTTTTTCATTTTCAAATTAATTAAACATTTTCCCCATTATTCTCTAGTTACTTGCTCCTTCTTAAAATAATTTAAAATGAAAACCGCTGAAATAAGTTAAACGGAGTTAAAGGCTTAAATGTATGTGATAAATATCATGATAACGTGTATGTTTCTTTTTCACGTTTTGTTTTTATTTTTTAACTGTCCGTTACGGATCTCAAATCAGAGATGTATATAAAAGCATTTCAGATTTAGCTAGTACCTAGGAAGCCTTTCGTTCAATACCAGAAGTCATCACAAACATTAGACCTATTGGTTTCTAAAGCTTGGTGTAATATAATTACATTAGCTATTGTAGTAAAGGGTCAAGGCTCTTGACCCTGAAGCTCTAGTAAACAATTTTCTTACCACAATATCTGGACATCCTGTGAGCATCATTTTATTCATTATTAGCCAAGTGTTTACCATCCATATACTCAGTATGACAGATTGTTTAATGCATTAATATGTACATAGAGTATTCAGTTATTTACAGTTTACATATGATTATGCGTTTGTAAACAACGTGATAACATTCGAGGCTGTTAATCGGACAATTTAATGTAAACATTTTCTTCCTGTAACAATCAATATTTCCAAATGTACATCGCTTGTCGCTACATCAGTTTCTGAGAAATCACGTATAGGTAGAAGTAGCGTTTTCGATAGTTTATATTACGACGAGAGCCACTGACACAGCATATATAAGCTCTTTTAACAAAATCGTAGCTTAAATAAATAAATAACTGATTAACACCATGCGCCCACTCATCGTGTGATATCTGTATTTGTATATAAACATAACCTGAAATAATATTTTTTAATATTTATAGTTATAGTGTAGGTAGATAGAAATGTGTATGTAATAGGATATATAAAAAATAAGCTTTAAATATTTTCTCTCAACTTTGGTAATGCTGATCGGATACTGCTAACACATATTATCAAACAAGGCAAATAGCGATCATAAAACAGTTACTAGTAAAATATGACGTTGTAGAAGGAAAAGCATTAAAAAAAATGTATGCAACGTTTCTTTTGAAGCTGACATTGATTCCATTGGATATTCCATGATGTTAAAAATACTAAGTGAGAAGGGTAACGTAATTAAAAAACCCTAATGGTCCAACATAATTTTTTTTTTGGAAAGTAGCACAGAAAACCGTAAGTCCAAAAGACATTTTTCACCTGAAATTAATTTTCCAAATTTCGTCCATTTTTGATTTATGACGCCATAAATATTGTTACGAAAGCGGAAGTCACGTAACGCTGCTGATGTGTTTCTCGAATGATCGGGGAACTCCGAGTGTGATCGAGATGCCCTCTTCGTTAGTATATAAGCCTGACAGTGAAAGCCAGCAGCGTTAATGAAGAGAGAGCAGTAGTTACTTTGAATTCCGTGTAATTTCTGATTCTGTTAGTTTCGAGCTAGTGAGCTGCAAAAATGTGTGTTTTGTACTCGTCGAAAGCGAAATTATCGACATTGTGAATCGCTGAGATTTATAGCGTGTATTATAAAAGTTGTTAAGTTTAAAGTGACGAGAAACGTACTGATTGTGGAACTACTGTGTACTGAAAGTTTGTATCGAGGAAGAATAAACTGGTTTAATCAAGAAAGGACTTGTGTCGCTGAAGATCCTCGGGTGGAATTTTTACCGGAAACAAGCACATACGTAACAATATCATTATACCCTATAACCAGAATCAGAAAGAAAAATAACTTTTTAGATCTGGTGATGTTTGGACATTAAAATCCTATTGGTCGGCATTTCGAAAATGAAATCTGGGTGAAAAGTGTCTTTGGCATAAGGTTTATTTGGACTACTTCACGATGGGCCCATTCTAGGCCTTTAATTCAGCATGTCTTTTGCTAAGTGAAGAGACATCATACTGTAATTTTCATTAAAATGGCTGTCGATTCTTATCGGGATTCAAACTTATGGACGCATAAGAAATTTAATATCGATTACACAACGAACCATATTCCTTATTAAGAACTAGAATGATATGTCTAATATATGACAATTTGTTGGTTATTATTAATAAACATTATTAAATCATACGAAGTAAAAAAAAAGTCTTGTACTATATTTATACTAACTTTACTGCTTGACGTCACTTCCTGTATTAATACTTACGGAACTCACAATCTTCTACATTAATTATATTCAGTGTCACCCACATCCTACGTTTTGGATGTATAGTGTCACGGAGGTGTGTGTAGAAAAAAAATGTATATGTATAAACTTGGGTTTGTTGAAAAAGAACAACGATGAAAATATTAGTTATTCACACAGCAAAAGCTTTGTTTAAAGCTTTCCGTCATCGTCAGAAGTTTTAAATATTATTTTAAGTTAACACGGTATGGAAAATTCCACCAGTGTAGTTTTAATAGTGTAGAAATTATAACTAACGTACCGTCATATCCGGTTTTCACAAATGAATCACTTGATATCTGACTAAACATGATGTAATCACGTCGTTCCTGAGAGTCGTTTCAACACTCGTCATTTTGACCAATTAGATGCTACAAGCTAATCATATTAATCAATGGTACTGCGTCACGTTTAAAATCGTTTCTTTGCCAGTTTATGCTATCTTACGGAACTTTTTTTTTCCTTTATCTTGACCAATCACAAGCTACCTCTTGATGACGTAGCTAATTGCTATAGAGGTATAAACGAAAAACTTTAAGAACAAAACACATACAATGAATTTTTCATGGTAATCTTCACGCTTCGTAACATAATCTGGAAAATTATTATCTTCAAAGGGAATTCTAATACTTTAATAAATTC